TATTGCCTGTTGCGCCATGGTGATATGATTCACAAAGATGTCAATGCTGTCAACGCCACAACCAAGACCAAACGTACCATCCAGTTTGTGAACTGGTGCCCCACTGGCTTCAAGGGCAGTATTACCTACCACCTCCTACTGGGTGTCTGGTGGAGACCAGGCCAAGGCACAGTGAGCTGTGTTCATGCTGAGCAACATCACAACCATTGCTGAGGCCTGGGCTCACCTGGACCACAAGTTTGACCTGATGTATGGCAAGCGTGCCCTTGTTCACTGGGACGTGGTAAGGGGATGGAGGAAGGAGAGTTTTCTGAGGCCTGTTAAGGACATGGCTGCCCTTGAGAAAGATTATGAAGAGATGGGTATGGATTCTGCTGAAGGAGGTGAGGAAAGAGGAGAAGAATACTTAAGTTAAAATGTCAAAAAGGTGCTGCTTTCCAGGGACACCTATTCTGTTTTAAACATTGAAAAGTTGGGGCCTGAGCAATGTACTGACCTATGCTTTAAAGCATGAACGCTTAATCACAGATGCAACCTGTCCATTTCTCTGATGGTTTTGAAAAAAGTATTTCATATCTTAAAATAGTTAGGCATGGTTTTCATTCAAAAGCAAAACCTTGGGCACAGGGATCAGTTAAAAGAATTTTACAAAACCTGAAATATAGATGCAGATACAGCTGAGTAAAACAGTAAGGCAAAAAATGAAAAGTCATATGTTGGAACAAGCTATACATACAACCTACCCAGAATTAATACCCAAATTAGATAAAGAAAGCAAGTAGAAAATATTGTAAAGATATACAAATGTTCAGAAAGCATATGAAAAGATGCTCAAAATCAATAGCTGCTGTTGTTCTTAGATGCTATTGAGTCGAGTATGATTCACAGCAACCCTATGAACAATACACCTGAACTCTGTCCTATCCTGTCCCATCCTCATCATCTCTAACACACTTGATTGCACTGCTGCAGTCACTGTGTCAATCAATCTCACTGGGGGTCTTCCTCACCTCCTCCAACCCTCCAACTTTCCAAGCATGATATCCTCCCAAGGAAGAGCATCGCCTAACAATATGTCCAAAATATGAAAGTTGAAGCTTTGCCATCTTTGCCTCCAAGAAGCACTCTGGCTGTACTTTCTCCAAGACATATCTGTTGTTTTGAAATTCAGTACTCTTCTCCAACACCAAAGATCAAAGGTATCAATTCTTCTATCATCTTTATTCATTGTCCAGCTTTCTGACTGAGAAGACCATGCCCTGAATCAAGCGTACCTTAGTCTTCAAACTGATATCACTGCTCTTAAGTATTTTGGATAGGTTCCTGAAGCAGACTTGGCTTATGCAATATGTCTCCTAATTTCCTGACTACTGGCACCAAGCATGGTTCAATGCCTCAAACCTAGAACTGAAAATCAAAATCACTTTGTATCTATGAGGATGCGACTGGGACAAAAAAAAAGGCTCTTGGAAATAGACACCCTAACTTACTGATGGGGATATAATTCAGTGGAAGTTTCCTCAAACAATTAGATATAAAATTATCATGTTGTTGTTATGGGTACTGTAGAGTTGTTTTGGACACACAACAACCCAATGTGCCAGAGGAGAACTGTCCTTTAGAGTACTTCAGGCTGTATTTTTTATGGGAGCAAAATTGTTAGGACTTTCTCCCATGAAGTAACTGAGTGGGCTTTTCTGGATGAGTTCAGTTAGCAGACAAATGTTCAACCATTGTACCACGAGGGTGGAGGTGGTGGTGGTGGTGGTGGTTGTTGTTATTGTTATGTGCCGTCGAGTCACTTGCGATTCATAGTGACCCTATATACAACAGCCCTAAACTCTGCTCTGTCCTGTGCTAATCGCACTGCCTTTGACACCCCCATCCCAATTATCCCAGTCACTGAATCAAACCACCTCATAGAGGGCCTTCCCCTCCTGCACTGTCCCTCCACCCTACCAAGCATGATGTCCTTCTCCAAGGACCGGTCCCTCCTTAAAACATGTCCAAAGTACGTTAGACAGAGCCTCAGAATCCTTGCCTCCAAGAAACCGACCAGTTTAACCCTT